TAAATTAATTAGGTACATATGACAGCATAGTGAATTTTGATTCATTTATACACAAATGGAGCACAACTTTTCACTTCTCTGGTTAAACATGAATATAGATTCGCACCATGTGAGCGGTCATACGAGTACCTAGGGTAATGATGTTCATCTCATCATCTTTCCTGCCTCCATCCCCCTACCCTTCCATTCTTCCCCTTTGGCCAAAGATCCTCCATCCCCCCATCCCATTATGGATCACCATCCAATTATCAGAGAGAACATTCAGCCTTTGGTTTTTGGGGGGATTGGCTTCCTTCACTCAGTATAATTCTCCAACTCCATTTATTTACCTACAAATGCCATAATTTTATTCTTTTAATGCAGAGTAATATTCCACTGTGTATATATACCAGTTTCTTTACCCATTCCTCTGTTAAAAGGCATCTAGTTTGGTTCCAAGTTTAGTTATTGTGAATTGAGCTGCTATGAACATTGATGTGGCTGTGTCACTATAGTATGCTGATTTTTAAGTCCTTTGAGTACAGATTGAGGAGTAGAATAGCTGGGTCAAATGGTGGTTTCATTCCAAGTTTTCTAAGGACTCTCCATACTGCTTTCCATAGTGGTTGCACCAATTTTAAGTGCCACCAACACTGTATGAGTATCTTTTTCTCCACATCCTTGACAACACTTATTATTGCTTGTATTCTTTTTTTTAAAAAGAAAGAGTGAGAGAGAGGGAGAGAATTTTAATATTTATTATTTAGTATTTGGCGGACACAACATCTTTGTTTGTATGTGGTACTGAGGATCGAACTCGGGCCGCACGCATGCCAGGCGAGCGCGCTACTGCTTGAGCCACATCCTCAGCCCCATTGCTTGTATTCTTGACAATTGCCATTCTGACTGGAGTGAGATGAAATCTGTTTTGATTTGCATTTCTCTAATTATTAGAGAATCTGAACATTTTTTTCATATACTTGTTGATCTATTGTATATCTTCTTCTAAGAAGCATCTGTTCAGTTTCTTAGCCCATTTATTGATTGGGTTGTTTATTTTTTTGAAGTTTTTTTGAGTTCTTTATGCATCCTGGAGATGATATGTGTGTGTAGAAAAGTAGTTCCCCCACTCTGTGGGCAATCTCTGCACATTATTGTTTCCTTTGCTGAGAAGAAGCTTTTTAGTTTAAATCTATCCCATTTATTAATTCTTGATTTTATTTATTAATAAATAAAAGGAAGTCAGAGCCTAATTGACATGGTGAAGTTTTGGGCCTATGTTTTCTTCTATTAGGTGCAGGGTCTCTGGTCTAATTCCTAGGTCTTGATCCACTTTTGAGTTTTATGCAGGGCAAGAGATGGTGGTTTAATTTCATTTTGCTGCATATGGATTTCCAGTTTTCCCAGCACCATTTTTTAAAGAAATTATCTTTTTGCCAACGTATGTTTTCAGCACTTTTGTCTAGTATGATATAACTGTGTTTAAGTGAGTTTGTCTCTGTCTTCCATTCTGTGCCATTGGTCTACATGTCTATTTTGGTGGCAATACCTCAGCATTTTTGTTACTATAGCTCTGTAGTACAGTTTAATATCTGGTATTGTGATGTCTCCTGTTTCACTCTTCTTGCTAAGGGTTGCATTGGCTAGTCTGGGTTTCTTGTTTTCCCAAATAAATTTAATGATTGCTTTTTCTGTGGTGAGCCATTTCAGCGGACTGTGGCTGCCATTACAAGATGGCGCCGGTTTCCGCCGTGGTGTGAGACAACAACTCCTTATTAGGGAGAGTTGGCACGTCATTGTTTAACACCCTATGAGAAAGGTCCACGTGGTGGCTTTGCATTGGGGCTTGGTGTGCTTTATTAAGTGTGGGAGGCGCGAGCAGAGAGAGAATGCTTGAAGACATGTCTGAGTAAAGGCCTGAATAAACTGCTGAGAGAAGATTCCTGAGTCGTGTCTTCCTTGCGGGCAAGGGGTCACGACATTTTCTATTTCTTTTAGGAATGTTTGGATTTTTGCATGGGCTCTCACGCGTCCAGCGAGGAGGCCCACAGAATAGGGTAGAGGAGAGTGTGGCTGCAGAGTCGCTCATCAAGACCTCCGGAGACCAAGCAGGTCTGAGTTTATTGCACAGTTACCATGTATATATACTCAGGCAGTAGCTAGGCAGATTACAGGCAGCCACCAATGTAATTTCTGCTAACTTGCAGCCACCAATCTAGGAGTGGGCTGCAGAGCAAGTGCAGGAACTGCAACACATGGCCTCATGCCCAGGGCTGTGTGTATGGGGTAAGTGTCCTACCACTCAGACACCCTTAACATATGCCTTGTATGCAGTATGGTAGCTCCTTTATACACGAAGGGGTTAAAGTGGCGGGGTATGCTGTCATTTCCCTCTCATCCATCATAGAGGCAAAACCTCTCCCACCCAATACCACTAACCAACAAGCTGAACTCATAGCTGCCCCAAGGGCATGCGAGCTAGCGGGAGGGAAATCTCCCACGCAGCCATTGGGAAAGAAAGGGGGCTATTGACCACCAGAGGGATGACAGTCATTAATTCCACACTTTTTTTTTTTTTTTTAGAGAGAGAGAATTTTTAATATTTATTTTTTCGTTCTTGGCGGACACAACATCTTTGTTGGTATGTGGTGCTGAGGTTCGAACCCGGGCCGCACACATGCCAGGCGAGCGCGCTACCGCTTGATCCACATCCCCAGCCCCACACTTATTTATGGAGTCCAATCTAGCTCCCTGAAGGAACGAGCAGACAAGGCTTGTCGTCCAGAAGTGTCACAGCTCTGCATATTTATAGAGCTGGGGTCGGTTTGACAGTTATGATTTAACAGTTTGACAGTTGGCACAGGGCACTTTCTGATTGGTGGGTAAGGATCATGTGAGTCAGCAGGGCTAGTCTGATTGGTGGGTAAGGATCATGTGAGCCAGCAGGGCTCACCATTGGGTGGCTCTTCCCATTCCTCGGAGGATGAGGAAGTTAGTCTTTGGAGCCCGGGCAACTCCTGACACTTGTCCCCAGATTTTAATTGGAATTGCATTTAATCTGTATAACGCTTTTGTCAGCATAGCAATTGACAATATTAATTCTTCCTGTCCAAGAACATGGGAGACCTTTCCATCTTCAAAGGTCTTCTTCAATGTCTTTCGTATTCTGTAGTTTTCATTGTATAGGTCTTTCTCTTTTGTTTTTATTTATTTATTGAGGCTATTGTGAATGGGATTGTTTTCCTAATTTCTCTGAGGGTTCATCACTGATGTATAGAAATATATTTGATTTCTGGGTGTTGATTTTGTATCCTGCTACTTTGCTGAATTCACTTAAATTCTAGAAGTTTTCTGGTGGAGTTTTTTTGATCCTCTAAGCATAGAATCATGTCATCAGCAAACAGTGATGTTTTGAGTTCTTTTCCAACTCAAATGCCTTTAATTTATTTTGTTTAATTGCTGTGGCTAGAGTTTTAAGGGCAATGTTAAATAGGAGTGATGAGAGAGAGCATCCCTGTCTTGGTTCAGTTCTTAGAGGGAATGTTTCCAATGGTTCTCCCTCTACAATAATGTTGGCCCTGGGCTTAGCATAGATAGCTTTTACAATGTTGAGGTATGTGCCTACTATTCCTAGTTTTTCTGGTGTTCTGAATATGAAAGGGTGTTGTATTTTATAAAATGCTTTTTCTGCATCTATTGAGATGATTTTTTTCTTTAAGCCTATTGATGTGATGAATTATGTTTATTGACTTCTGTATGTTGAACCAAATTTGCATCCCTGGAATGAAACTTGGTCACTGTGCATTATCATTTTAATGTTTTTGTATGTAATTTCCCAGAATTTTATTGAGAATTGTTGTATCTATGTCCCCACATCCTTTGCAAAAATACAAGTTACTGCAAGTGCGTTCTCATGTTTGCTAACAAGTTCATGTGATAATAAAGACTTCCCATTTTTCTGTATTCACAGTTACTCTCCAGTGTGCTCTTCCATGTACATGAAAGAATCTGAGAATAAAGAATTTCCCAAATTGCTGACATCATTAAGGTTCCTCCTCACTGTGAATTTTTTCTTAGTATCAAAGGAAACTGTAAACAATAAAGCTTTCTCACATGGCTTACACTCATGGAGTTTCTCTCAAGTGTGAGTTCCTTGA